CGAAATGTGCGCTGCTTTTCGGTCTGGTTACTACCGTTTATGACAGAACACCGGTACCCATCCCTACCTGAGATGACCAGAATAAGCACATCACCTCTCTTTGTTGACATACAGATCAAATATTTAATAAAAAAACGAATAACAACTGGGTTTAACATGCAGCCTTGAGCTCATAAGACATGAATTGCAAAGTACTGACCTCAGAGTTTGCAATTTCCTGTTTTACACACAGTTATTTTCATAATTCTGTGGACAGTATCTGATTTGATTGAACATTCATACATATTTATACCACCCAGCTATTCAACAATCATTAGAAGATGTCTCTTTTGTCCTCTGAAGTTTTCCCCTTTTGTCTCACTCATCCAGATCTGGCACTGGCACACACTTGTGGGTGTTGGGAGAGCTCTCAGTATGAAAAGCAGGTGAATTACAGTAGTCTGAAGAGGTGAGATGAGAGGGACGGCTCTACAACGCGGAGTGCTGCGATCCCTGAGGAGATAATGTGTGGCGAGAGCACAGCCTCGCTGAAGTAACACTCAAGAGGGAGACTCTCAAGAGGGAGTTTAAAAACACTTGGCCAGTTTTCTTCAGCGGCGCTGTGGCATTTAAGAGCCGACATCCTTGACAGTGTGACCAGTAGAGCACAAACAAAGACAGCTCAGAGGAAAATGGAGCTAAATGTTGAATACCTGCTGGCCTCTGCAGCCAGCGAACCTCAACACTGACCCTAGCTGTGTTGGACAGAGAGCCTTTCTGAATATTAAACTGCTGCACCCTCCTGAAAACAAGCACACCTCCTGTCTTGGTGTTAGCCTCAACATTTAATTGAGGGTAGACTCGCATAATAACACACCTCCCCTGACATTTACATTTTAGACTTCCAGGAGTGTGGAGTTAAAGGTGTGTGAGCCATAAAACACTCAACAGCAAATAGCTGAACACGTTTTATGACATTAGATGGCCTATTATGGCGAACAACACCAGGGAAACGAGAGTGATCCAGGTTGCAGATATTTGCCTTTTTAGCCTATAAAAATATATAGGAATTATAGGAGAAAATATCAAGGTGGAAAATAACACAATTCACTTATCTAACACAGATGAGAAAAGCAGCTCTTTTTGCCTGAGGTGACAATAATAAAAGAAGGAAAGCTCCCACTGTAATGCAGAACTCCACTGACAAAAAAAACTATTATGTTGACACTTGAGTGATGGGACAATAAGTTTCATCTCAATAAAATATCCTTCCATCATCCGAAAGTTTAATCATTTCTGGTACCTGAGTTAGATTTAGGAGTATGAGAGTTAAACTCCGCCTGTCCATTCATCCACAGCGTCAGTTTTATTATTCAGGGTGAATAAACTGTGAATCTGACAGCAGTAAAAAGTCTCAAAAGATTAAAAAAATTCTCTGGAGTGCCAAGGCCTCGGCGTTGCCAAGTACAATTAATCACCACTGACTGACAGGCACACTAATACTTGGCACTGAAGAGACAAGGAGGGAGATCACGGCTCATTCACCTGCATTGTCCACTTCTTTACTGTTTTACTGAATAGAAAGTGCCCACAGAGTGCGTGACAAAGCTGAGGACCTTGAATACCGATGAGCTCCATCCATCACCTCAGCAAACAGAAGGTGCTGCACTTCAGAGCTCTATAAGCCCCACAAACCCAAAGTTCAGTGCCTGTCAGTATGAGCGGAGCCAACTTATTTAGCCGTTCAAAGCACGTAGCAGTAAGCAGGATAATGAGGCTCCAGCGATGGCTGTTTTTGCTCCAGAGCGCTAACAATCATCCTCAAGCAGAAAACGTCAATGTTTATTTTACTAATCTGCACTACTTCTGCCTCGAGCTTGACCCAAAGAGGCTGAACCTGGGTGTAGCGGTGAAATAAAAAATGATGCGTATTCAAGTTTACCTTTTTCCTTTTGACTCAACACTACTTTGTGGGAAACGAATAAAACAAGAAGAGACAATAAAAATCACAGAACTGACCTGAGAAAAGAGCAAAAACACTACTAGGAGGGTCAGAGTAAACTGCATTCCAGTTTAGCTGAACTATTCTACACAGCAGAACACATCCATGCATTCGCTTTTGTTGCCCAATAAACAGTTAACATCCCAAAGACAAACCATTTTCTTCAATGTAACAGAAATTAGCCCCAAATTTGCTTTCTTGAGAAATCACTACCTCTGACTATGGATTGACAAATTCATTGACTATACTACTGGCACCACCTTTGACTAATTGCTATTGTTTCTGCTATTTTACCCCTTCCCTTCTGTCTCTTGTTGTTGCTCTCCTGTTTGCTTTTCCCTGCCAGCCTCACCAGCTCCATGCCATCCCTCCCTCTGTTTAGTTTACCCAGTCTGCCATAGCCTGCCAGCCTTTTCTCCAGCCTCTCCAGCTCTTCTTCCTCAATCTTTAACAAAGCCTTGCTCAACTATTTGCCTGTCTAGTTCCCAGTTCACCCTGTGGGTCCACAAAGTTGTTTCTTAACCAGTTATTTTTACAGCTAGCTTTACAGCTTTTTGCATCACTGAAATAAAATGTATATATATGCATGTCTTCGAAATAACAGAGTATTTGGAATCATCACTGAATGTATTTCATGTCTGTGCACTTGTGAGTTAGGCTGCACATGAGCTTTTATGATTTTTTTTTCTCACCAAAACAGCTGTAGGACATTGTTTTGTTGGGGTTATACATTTCTTCACAGATCTGAACCAGAGCATCACTGAGCTCCTGGACAGTTTGAGGTGCAACTTGGAAGTTTTGAAAAACATGAGGTGTCAGGATCAGTCTGTAGTATCACTTCTTTAATCCTCCAGGATCTGCCTGCATACTCTTGCCACATGAGGCTGGGCACTGTCCTGTACCAGGAGGAACCCAGGACCCACTGCACCAGCATAGAATCTGACAATGGGTCCAAGGACTTCATTGTGATACGTAACGGCCGTCAGGGTGCCATTGTCTAATCTGTAGATGTCTATATGTTCCTCCATGGATATGCCTCCAAATAGCATGACTGACCTCACCACCAAAACAGTCGCTTGAAGTTCGAGGTACCAAAACATTCTCCATGGCATCTCTAGAACTGCGGTGGTGGTCAGAGGGCCCGGTGGCGCCAGTGTCCGGCAGCCTCGCCTCTGTCAGTGCGCCCCAGGGTGGCTGTGGCTACAATGTAGCTGCCATCACCAGTGTGTGAATGTGTGTGTGAATGGGTGGATGACTGGTTGTGTAAAGCGCTTTGGGATCCTTAGGGACTAGAAAAGTGCTATACAAATACAGGCCATTTACCATTTAGAACTATTCCTATTTCCTATCTGTCCCGTGGGCTCAGGGTGAACCTGCTCTCATCTGTGAAAAAGTGGTGGACCTGACACTTCTGGTATTCTATGGCAAATGTCACTCAGGTTCCAAGGTGCCAGGCAGTGAGCACAGGACCCAGTAGACATCGGGCCCTGAGGCCACCCTGATAAAGTCTGATTCTGATTGCGTGGTCAGAGATATTCACACCAGTGGCCTGCTGGAGATCATTTTGTAGGACTTCAACATTGGTCATCCTGTCTGTCTTTGCACAAAGGACCAGACACTGTTCCTCTTGATGTGTTAAGGATCTTCTGCAGCCCTGTCCAGCCCTTCGAGAGTAACCACCTGCCACTTGGAATCTCCTCCATGCTCTTGAGACTGTGCTGAGGGACTCAACAAACATTCCTCATTGTTGTCTCTCTAGTCCACCTATTGTTAATGCTAACAAATAAAAACTACAACTCAAAAATCCAAGTAAAATGAAAGTGAATCCAAATTAAAATGAAGTAAAAACCCAAATGTCCATTTGATAGTTTAGAATTATGTTATGTTTAGATTCAAACAGTTTCCGATTTAAATGTATATTTTCAGGTCTCTTCACACTGTTCTCAGTCTCCTCAGTATACACTTTATTGTTTCCCTGTCACTCGCCAGGCTGTCTTGATACTTTCCACAGTTAAGTGTTCCAGCTGTTCAAAGTTGTATTTCCCATTTCATCTTCCTAGCTAAGGTTGCTCATTTTCTTATCTCTGCCTCAGTTTCTTCTCTCGCGTGTATTCCTACTTCCTGGTCTAGTTCTTGTTGTGTATTGCATTGCTTTTTTGCACCATTTCCCTCATTTGTTTGCCTTGTTGAGTGACCTCCCAACATGACAAATAAGGGCCTTTTAATGAGCTAATAGAATGACATTTGAAGCAGGCAAATGATACTTCTCTATATTGTTGACTCTACAGCTCCTCAGTTTCTTTGAATCTCATGAATGTCTA